GGCTCGGGGACTGCTTTGCAGAACACCTACGCTCGGTTTGCAATAAACAACTGCACCTCCCAGTCCCGAACCATTTCAACTCCCCCTCCCATTCCTCAGATGACATGTCCATCCTGGGCCTCCTGCAGTGCCACAACGATGCCACCCGAAGGTTGCAGGAATAGCAACTCATATTCCGCTTGGGAACTCTGCAGCCCAATGATATCAATGTGGATTTCACAAGTTTCAAAATCTCCCCTCCCCCAACCGCATCCCAAAACCAGTCCAGCTTGTCCCCGCCTCCCTAACCTGTCCTTCCTCCCACCTATCCCTTCCTCCCACCTCAAGCCGCACCCCCATCTCCTACCTACTAACCTCATCCCGCCCCCTTGACCTGTCCATCCTCCCTGGACTGACCTATTCCCTCCCTAACACCCCACCTACACTCACCTTTACTGGCTCCATTCCCACCTCTTCGGCCTGTCTGTTTCCTCTCCACCTATCTTCTCCTCTATCCATCTTCTATCCTCCTCCCCCTCTTTCCCTATTTATTTCAGAACCCCCTTCCCCTCCCCCATTTCTGATGAAGGGTCTAGGCCCGAAACGTCAGCCTCTCTGCTCCTATGATGCTGCTTGGCCTGCTGTGTTCATCCAGCCCTGCACCTTGCTGTCTAGGAAATAGAGTCCCACTGGGGTGGAGGAAGGGGAGAGAGGGTGACAGAGAATGTAAGAAGCAAAGCTAAAAGAAGGATGGAATGTGTTCACAATTTGAAGGTGTTTAACTCGATATTGAGCCCAGAAGGTTGTAAACCGCCTATTTTGAGGATGAGATGTTACGCCTCCAGTTTATGCTGCAATTTGCTGGAGCAGTATGCCAAGGACAGACAAGTGGGCATCTGAGCAAGACGCTGTGTTAAAGTGACCGGCTTTTAGGGGAAGTAACACTTTGTGAAAATCCAGAGTCATTCATGAGTGTTGTAGTGAAAAAAATACTCCATGTTGATCTTAAGCTCTGACTTTCTAACCAATTTGTATTATCTCAGTGTCCTACAAAAGTATATTCTATAGAAGTTTAGAGTATTTAAAAAAGATGAATACCAGTTATGTTTTACAGCATTGGTAGTTAGGGATATTACAGGAGTGATTGCTGCAACAGAAATAAACTAGCTGACCATTCAGCGAACACTTCAGCCCATGGTAGGAATCTGTCCAACATCCTATTACCTTCCCAATCCTTGCTAATTGCCAGTGGTAAAGTTTACCCAGTGAGAGAGTGTGCTTTGGTGAAAAATTGGGAGTTTTCTACTGAAGAAATATTTTATTCAGAAAGTTGACAACCTCTAATGACAGTTATGAAGTTTGTTTGACATTTAAAATTGCATAGTGCATTAAGCCTTTGAAGCAATATCATCTATCTGTAGGAAGAGATTGACGATATAGAACCAGAATTATGTGGGTATGAGAGACTTTCAAAAGCCTTCCATCTTTCTTGGACTCTAGACAGCAGTCATGATATTGCAACCCTGCAACCTTCTGATAAGAGACTTCTCTTTTTGTTTATCTTCCAGCGTCTGATATAATATGAGCTCTAAAGAAGTTCTTCAAAACCAGAATTAATTGAGTGAAGCAAACTTGCATTAATATTGATTGTTTTGAAAATTTGATTTCACTTGTCAGTATTATATTTGTATTGAGAAAAGGCATATTCCATAATACCTTTTCAATAAAGCACGACAAATTTAAACATCAATTCTTTTCACAGACTTGCTTGCCGGGCTTCACCGGACTGACGAGTTACCTCGCAGGGTGACGAAACGTCTGCAGTCAAACACACCGGCTCGGCGAGCAAGTTTGCAACCTCATCCACAACCTGAGCTGCAAATCTCAAAAACTTCAGTCAATTATTTTCCCATTTCAGCCTACCTCTGGCATAGGGAACCTATTTTGTGGGGACTAGCAGGAAATAATCTCTCTAACTCTATTGCAGGAAAGTAAAGAAAGAGCAGATGAAAGCGACAAATTGGATAGCTCTTTCTAACAGCCAGTACAGAGCTGAATGGCCTCATCCTGTGCCATAAGATTCTTTAATTTCAGCAAACTCTGATGATTGAATCCTAGATTTAAGCCTCCATTCCTAGGACAACTTGTATTAAAACTAACAGTCAACAGCATGTTAGATGCAAATGTAATAGTAGGTGAGAAAGGTGATGATGGAATAACTTCTCACCAAGTTAGCACTAAATTACTACTTGTTCAGTTTTAGTTCCTCATTTTGCAATTCAAGTGTTTTTTTTAACCAAGAAGCAGTTTATAAAGCAACATAAATATTGATTTGATCAAAGTTTAAAGAAGTATTTAATGAGGCACAATTGGTTCCACAAAGTAATATTTCTTCTCATTTAAACCAGTGGACAAGGAAAAACTAAGAACTTTTGTTTTAAATGTTTACTCGTGCTCTAGAACTATACAGATATAATATTCAATTTTTGTATTTTTCCATGGTTGATAACTATGACAAGGGGAGAAAAAAGACTTATTTCAGATATTTTTAAAAAGAGCTAGTTAAACTTGCAGCATTTAGTGCCTTCAACCACTTCTAGCAAATGCTAATTTTCTTTTTGACACCTTTAGATGACAATAATTGAAGAGTTGGTGTTAAGATCTGTCAGAACAGGCATTAAATGGACACCTCAGTAGATAAATAAGGCAAGTTCTAAATGGCTCAATAATCTAATCAGTCATGAAGCCTGCAAGTGTTTGGAATCAGTGATAAGGATATGGAGTTTATGACAAGGACCAAGATGGTTTCTGTCATTAGAGCGTTTAGTTGGAGGGAATTACATCTCATCCTAGACTAGATGTCGGATAAACTGTTCCTACCCTTTGGAAGATGATGCAAACAGCACCTAGTGACATTTTAATCTGTGCTGTAAACTAATGGATTCACAAGGTATATGCAAAAATAGGACATGGCTTTTTAATTGAGATTTGATCATGGGTGACATGGTGGCTCAGTGGTTAGCACTGCCACCTCAGTGCACCAGGGACCTGGGTTTGATTCCAGCCATGATGATTGTCTGTGTGGAGTTTGCATGTACTCTCTGTATCTGTGTGGGTTTGCTCTGGGTGCTCTGGTTTCCTTCCACAGTCAAAAGATGCGCAGATTAGGTAGATTGGCCATGGTAAATGTGGAGTTACGGGGTTAGGGAGGGATACTTTTCAGATGGTCTGTGCAGGCTCAATGGGATGAATGGCCTCTTTCTGCACTATAGGGATTCTATGATTTGTTATCACTCCTCGAGGCATAGTGCAAACAAAATATGTACTTTAACACTTGTTCAATGTGCCTTCCAAGTCAGCAAACACTAAAGTGACTGGCACCCACCTTTAGAAAGCAAGACCTATCAAACTATCCATTCCAAGATAGAACAGTAAATTCCCACTTCGGGGAAGAAAAAAAGAGAGCGAGCGAGAGAGATGCTTGGTCTCTGGCCTCTTCTACAGATGGCCGTGTAAAAGTATTGGTCAGCTGAGCTGCAAATCAAATCTACTACCTTCAATGAGAAATTTTCTCCCTTCATATGGGTGTCATAGCAAACCTGTTTCACCAAAGCCTCCTGCAGGCACCTCAGTCATAAACCAATACAGCGCATGAATCATTAGTGTCTCTCTGAGGTGTGGGGTGATTTCCTGGACTCAAACACATCTGGTATGGGAGAAACACAACACTGACGTGCCTGATAATCCAGTTAATTTAACAACATCCCAGGTAGTTTGCATTCCTCGTTGGGAGTGAATATTTTGTGAGCCGAGTCTAAATTCATAGCAATATTAGAATATAAATGAACCAAAGTTCCTACCAAGTTAGCAGAATAGATACAACTTTTTCAAGGTTACTGTTATATTTGATACATATATTATGAATTTTTAAAAATAGAACTTGATGCAGTGAGAGTTTCCCTTGTAAGTTGCATTTGTTCCCTGTGACAGTTTTCAGTGTAATAAGCATTTGAAGAGCGCTAAAATAATCTATTCAGAGATAGTCCCTTGTTAGCTAAAATAATCTATGTTCTTTTCATGAACCAGCAGCCAATATCAAACAGAGTGTGTTGTTATCTGAATTAAGTTATGCTACAGTTCTAAATGAATGGTGATACTTATTTGAGGGACTGAATCATCTACTCTTATTATTAAACATGAGGAACACATTACAACATGCTTACTATGCTTATCTACTTGAGCTGCTAGTTGTGGCTTTAACTCGCATGGTGTTTCTGCCTTGCCACACTCTCATCATGGTTGTTGAGGATTGTTATAACCGTGTCTTTTTATTTTAATTGTGGGCTGAAATAGGGAAGGACTGTTCTTTTTAAACCAGTGTTTTAAAGGATTGCTTCATGTTTTGCAAAGTCAGTAACCTGACACTTGCGTCAAGCATTGTTTAAAAAGCTGTTTGAACAAGCAGTAATTGAAGTTTGCATTGCTGATAAATTGAAACTAAGAGCTTGTGTGCAGATGCAGTTGGGTAGCAATGTATTTATTTTAATCTCTAACTTTTGCAATGTCTCTGAGCAATAACAAGGCTTGATTTCTAGTGCGCTACCCCAGTGAGTCATGAAAGGCTACACCTGTACAATGTGCTATGAGCAGGCAGGACTGTGGAGTTAAAGCCACAGTCAGATCAGCCATGGTCTTACAGCAGAAACTGTTAGAGGCCAGTGCACCTACTCCTCCTTAAGTTCTTCATGCTGTTATTTGTCACTGAATCAGAATGTCCTATGCTGATGTTGCTGCATTAGATCACAATACAACCTATTTGACCATTGACTGTTTGGAATTTGTGCAGACAGAAATCATTCTCCATGTTAAAATGTATTCACTTATTTATTTCAACTATCATAAATCCCACCATGGATCTGTGAACATTACTTATATAATTATTTTTATCATTTTTTTTTAAATAGAAAGGGATTAATTCCAAGAAACTGGAAGTTGTTTATAATGTTTTCCTTCATCCACAGGGTGCAAGTTGAATTTTATGTGAATGAAAATACCTTCAAAGAACGTCTCAAGCTGTTTTTCATAAAAAACCAAAGGTCAAGTAAGTACCTTCCATGATTACTATCATTTCTGCTAAGGGGTGACGTTGTAGAGGTTTGTAAAGTCATAAGTGACATGGATAGGGTGAATAGTCAAGGCCTTTTCCCCAGGATGGGGGAGTCCAAACTAGAGGGTATAGGTTTAAGGTGAGAAGGGAAATATTTAAAAGGGACCTAAGAGACACCTTTTTCATGCAGAGGGTGGTGCGTGTATGGAATAAACTGCCAGAGGAAGTGGTGGAGGCTGATACAATTACAACATTTAAACAGCATCTGGATGGGATGAATAGGAAGCGTTTTGAAGGATATGAGCTCAATGCTGGCAAATGGGACTAGATTAATTTAGGATATCTGGTCGGCATGAATGAGTTGGACTGAAGGGTCTGTTTCCGTCTGTCTGACTCTATGGCTCTAAAATCATGCCTTTGTGCTGACTTTGGCTCAAGACAGGAGAAAAAGAAACTTTGGAAGGTGTGAATATGCAACCTTCTTTGGATTATTATTTAGTTGCTCTATTGACTTTAATGTTTTCTGACCTTGTCCCCAAGATCTTGCTGTGTGATGCTTCCTTTACATCCTGTCAGATGGTAACCGATAAGATTAACTAGTAGCCAACTTTGCTTATGATTTAACATCAGTAGTAAAACAAGATATGATTTTAGCCTAATGATGGGAAATGCAAGTTAGGCCAATTCCTGACTTTGGAAACCCCAGCGAGTTAGCTCAACCCTCTTTATCTCCCATGGACAGACATCCAAAACCCACTGTGTACAGAACTTCAGAGACATGTAATAATCATATCAATCTTTTGAAATAGATATATCAAAAAGTCCACCTCTAAAAATCCATTCAAGTAGTTAATAACAAAACACACACATGCATATTTAAAAGAATGATTCTGACCCAATGCAAATAAAAGCTTATATCCCTTCATGTGGTCAAATTCTTGTAAAAACTAATGAACTTTGCTTACAGTAATCACATCAAAGATAGATAGTCATTTAATAACTTCTCGAATCTTCAACAGTGAACACAGCAACCTGCAGAGAGAAGATTTCTACAGCTCTTAACACTCAATCATTTGTTCATAATGTAAACCATTACACTCACAGACAAAGAAGCCTGTTGAAACTTCGAGAAAAGATGGCTTTTTTTTCAAAGCTGTGGTCAGTCAAAATAGACCAGGAGTAATGTCTTTTTTTTTTGTTTAAGGGGATGCTGTATGCCCTTTTTCTTTAAGTTTAAAGGCCTTTTAAATCACTTTAGTTTGTAACATTGCAGTCCTCAAGCACTCTTTTCTATAGTCTTGAATACATTACAGTACTTCTCCCAATGAAAAAATACTCCAATACATGTCAGAATTTATTTAAAAATAAAGCCATTCAATTAAATGTTGACTGTGCAGGGCAGAATTCTATAGTCAATCTTTGCACTGAAAATGTATCTAACTCCTACGGCAGCAACTAATCATGATGCTTGAAGCCATCAAACTGCTTAACAGTTATCTCTGAAAATAGGGAATGTTTCAGGTGTCTTTCCAAAACCCACCTAACCTGATGAAAGGGGAAAAATCAAAATTCACCTTGATTGTCAATTGCGACCCCAACAGTCAACCTGTGTGCACAGTCATCATGTAAGACATTTGTCACTTTCAGAATGGCCACATGAAAATGGATAGTTTCCTGATTGGATAAAGAGGGTCACCTGTCTGCTGAGTTGAGGGTGGAAGCTCTAATTACCCCAATTTGGGTGCAATCCAAGGATGGATGAGGGACAATCGGGTGGCCTCTGAAAACTACCCCTTCCCTTCGACTCCAACATTCCCCAAACACTCTTCCCTGTGGCAAGTACCCCACAACAAGAAGTTTAAAAATGCCTTCTAACCATAAGATTCTCTGAGGTGAAGGCCTCGACCAGCAATTTTCAGGACCCAAAAGCTGCTGGCCTCTGATTGGCCAGTAGCCTCTGATGACCTGAATGCCAGTGTCAAGGCCTGTGACAGACTGGGAAACGTGCACACGCTCACTTGCTGGCTCTTAATGAGTTGATTGCTGTGTGAAAGGTGGATCTTTCTCAGTGGTGGGGATGACATGTTAATTGCCATTGACAATGCTTGCCTCTGCACACTTTTTAAAACAAACAAAGGGAAAATCGCACACTTAGTAAATCTCTACCCAGGAATCCATAGAGGTTCAGTCATTAAATATACTCCAGTCTGAAATAGATAAAATTTTGAACTATAGGGGAGCTGAGAATTATGCATAATAGTTAGGTGAGTGGAGTTAAGGCCAAGATTCAATCAGTCGTGTTCTTATTGAATGTTAGAACAGCCTCAAATGGCTCTATGGCCAGTTCATGCTCCCATATGTTGTTCTTTTATTCTCAAGTTCATTTATTTTCCATTTCATGGAAAGTTATTTACAGGCTGTTAAAATTATATATCTGCCTGATTTATAAATTGTCTTGCTCACTCAAAGTCTTTATCCCCATTGTTTGTTCTTTCTTCATTTTATTTATTTTAATCAATTCTTGTAGGTAGCTTCCCTCTGCTGTGATTAAATGTTATCTGAAATATTAAGCAATCTTTTCTTTCAGATCAACTATGCATTTACAACATCTTGTTTTAACTTCAGATTTCCCATACTTGAGATTGTTCCCTTTTATCTATTAAAACTTATTAAACTATTCCATCATTTTCTTGGTTCAACTTGTTTTCTTGGTTCAAAGAACAATGCCAGTGTACTGCAGGGATCAGTGTCAAGTACAGTGCAATGTGTAACCAGCAAATATGAATTACAGACATCTTAAACTCCGCTAAGTGATAAAGGCAATGCTTGTGTCTAATTACAAATATGCCTGTGTGATAGCCTACTCACCACTGCCTGAATTTTCATGTTAGAAGGCCTTTATTAGATGGTCCTGCTTTCTTATAGCACCAATAAATTCAAATGGAAGTTGTCTAGCAACATACAGTTTTTATCCTTTGGGATTATTTCCTTGATTCCTGAATGATCTTGCTGCTTTTGCAAATAATGCACTTCAGTTAGCATTGTTAAACAGCATTCAAATGGAAATAGTTGGTTACTTCTGCTTGGTCTGTTGAACTTATAATCTTTTAGCCATCTTTTGATGTATCTTTTATGAGGATGGGTGTGTATGTGTCCTTATGATTTGAGAGGATGGCTTTGTTGTATAGGTAGTCTGACTTGAGACTGTGTGAGCTGATTGTCATGATGAAGGTTTCCACCAACACCATCCTGTTTAAGCTTTTTTGTCTATTTTGTCTGCAGTCATTAGAGGAAAGCACTTCCTAGTCCAACTAGAAGAACTTCCTGTAGATAAGATCTAGTTTGTTGCACGTTAACACCTAGGTGCACAATGGGTCATGTGTTCGAGGCCAGAGAAAGGGTGCAGGCTGTGTCTTCAAAGCTCATGTGAAACACAGGAAAGGTTTTGCAAAGCTGAGAGCTGTGGATTTAGCTGAATGTCATGGCTATGTCATGGCTATGTCAAGGGTATTGTCAAGGATGTCATTCATGACCTGCTGGTGGTGCTCCTTTAGCAAAGGTAGTGTTCTGAGATCCTTACTGGTTCGAAAGAAAGACTGAGCTATTCATTGCAATGGAGGGTATTCACACCGGTCAGTTTATCTACCATGTCAAGAAGACTCAATTGAACATTGGAAAATATCCGCCTGTGGGCACTATGCCATAAGGCATAGTGTGTTGCCTGGGAGAGAAGCCAGGTCACTGTGCCTATGGTAATTACACCACAGATATTTCCCACAATCCTGAGACTAAGAAAATTCATGTCCAGTTACCATTGGGTTCTAAGAAAGTTGTCTCCTCTGCTAACAGAGTTTTGTTGGTGTTGATATAATGGACATTGTTACAGAAACTTTGTGGAGCACCTAATTGTTAGGTCTCACACCTTTAGGATCTGGAGCTGACCTGCCCACAAGCCCAGATGACACCATCATAGTGGATACTTTTCACAGCACTCCTCAGTGTTATCCCATGTACACTAGGTTTAATGTTGTGTCCAAGTTAATTAGTTTTGGCCCACAACAGTGATTTCATCTTTCATCAGTTTTGAAACTGGGTGTTTGATACGGACTGTATGTTTTATACTCTGTGACATAACATTACAATTTGGGCTTTAATATGCTCTTCATTTTTAATACTTCACTCAATATTTTTCATTCAAAAGAGCAATAACAATGTCACTCAGCGTGGCTGTCGTGCAAAAATGCAGTGGTCTTAGCTTATTTGTATATTCTTGTTTAAACCTGTCTAGCCTTACATTATGAGGAAGTGCTAACCTTTCAATAGATCCCCCTCCTAAACAACCAAAGTTGTTTCATATGCTTGCATTGTATTTGGATGTTTAACTACTTAATAAAAATTCAAAATTTCTAAAAGCACAAAAAATTAAGGGGCATTGGCTTGAAGTAACCTAACTTGTATATTGTAAAAGGATCATGTTAAATGAAGATCATTTCATCCCCAGATGATGCATTTTTAATCTTTGAAAGAATAATGGAAAGTTATTTTTGTTATTAAACAGTTTAACTGGAGAGAAATTAAGGCATCTTCATCTCTTACTCTGACCTACATTGCATATTACTGATCTGTGATTAAAACAGAACAAGTGTTTTGTTTTCAGTTAACTAATGATTATATTAAGAATTTTTAATGTAAAACATCCTTGGAAAAACAAGTGCTAGTATGATACTATAAAGATTGCTGCATATATTAACTGTCCTTTAGCCAAATAACTTAATCAACCTTTCTTTGTGGTTTGAACACCAAATTGAGTTTAGTTATAGTCTAGTAAGTGAAAAAAAGTAATGAATTCAAATGAGGAATGTGTATTTTTGAATTTGACTGCAGATTTTTGAATCGTTTCAGGCCTAAGAATACGTCTATTCAACTTTTCTCTCAAGCTCCTCAGCTGCTTATTGTACATTATTCGTGTCTTACTTGATGATCCTAGAGAAAGAAATGGATGGTAAGTACAAAAAAAATCATTTCTTTGAACTCAAACAAGTCTTTGATTACAACGTAGTTTCAAAACTGTACAAGTGGAACATCACAGTTATAGACATTAGTTGCCCAATAAGCCAAAACCCATCTTGCTATTTTATGCTCTCTGGCGAATACCACATTGAAGGTTCTGCAATATGTAGAATAGATAGAGTGAGCAATCTGTATTTGATGTTGTATGAGACATATTATGTACGCTGTAAACCTTCCCAAAGGCAGGTCTCTGCTGTACTTCACCCTGCGCCATTTTCAGCACTCATGGTTTGCCACTGTTCACTATCGTGGACGGAGGGAAGAGTTAAGTCCCAAGTCTACCTCAGCTGGGAGAGAAACTTAAACTTCACAGTTAGTGTGATTGTGAACCAGACACTAGCCACTAACTAACAGAAGTAACCGACCTCTATAGTTGGCGACTTACGAGGGTTAATCGTACATGGTCAGACTTCTGGCGTGGAGCTTTTTGGTAGGTAGAATTCACCAGGGAATTGCAGGCATGTTTGGATCATTTTCTGCTCATGTTTGGAAAAGAATAAGAAGCTCCTATCAGCAATCTCTTCAAAGGGAACAGCATTTATACACTTAGCCACAGGAACTATAATATTATTATCCACATCGATTTAACTATCTCTTGTTCTGATTAGTCAGTAATAATTTTGTACTGTGTTTTGACAGCTCATTTCTTGTTTTACCATTATATTTACTTTGTGTTTTCTGGGTATATGTCCTTATTGATTTCAGTTTTCTAGCATTCACTGAATAAGAGTTTATGTCGCTTGGTAACACAGCTAAAAAAGAGGGGGATCATCAAACCTTTTTGTCTGGCACTTATCAGGACAAAGACAAAAATGCCAAATTTGAAACGATCATGGCAATTTATATTAAAATAGAAGAGAGTGCAGATTGGTCTTCAAGTTGCTTCTGGGTGGGGTATGCCCATAAGAAAGCAGTGGGGAGTTATAGGCTCTCCCAACTCTCAGGTAATTCAACAGAAGCCTGAGGCTTGAACATGTTCCGTTTTGCAGAGTATTGATCACTGTACATAAATGATGTTTCTCCCAGCAAACGTAAATGAACTTGACTGATTATCTTAAGTTAGTTGTTGTTTGTTGTCTAGGTGCTTAGAATAGGCAGGGCACAATCTGTAATCAACTGAGTAAACCAAAAAGCCTCTCTACAGTCAAGGATGTGATATTGCAATTTGGTAGCATTTGCTGAATACTCCGGTATGCATAGAAAGAATCATAGAGTCATAGAGCTGTACAGCATGGAAACAGACCTTTCGGTCCAACTCGTCCATGCCGACCAGATATCCTAAATTAATCTAGTCCCATTTGTCTGCAATTGGCCTACCCTCCTTTAAACCCTTCCCATTCATATACCCATCTGTATGCCTTTTAAATGTTGTAATTATACCAGCCTCCACCACTTCCCCTGGCAGCTCATTCTATACACACACCACTCACTGTGTGAAAAAGTGGCCACTTGGGTCCCTTTCAAATCTTTCCCCTCTCAGTACAGCAGTTCAGCAGTAGAACCATGTGGTATTTGGATAAATAAAACAATGTTTATTACTGCTTTAAAGGTTTTATCTATGGTGTTTCCAGTTCACATATTGGGAATAGATATTTCACCATCCTATAATCCAGAAAATTCCAAAATTCAAAAGTGGTCTGAAGCATTCCAGATTGAAGAGTGCACTATGGATAGATGTGTTTACTTTTTAAAATGTTTTCGCAATATGTTAATAATCTGGCTATGAATAAACTTGCAGGCCTTATTTCTGTGAATGAAGCTGAACTTTGTTTTCTAAAATGTCAGTTAACGTTCATCAATTGGAGAGCTCGAATCTGGCCAACTTGAAAATCAGACTTTGAAGGAAGTATAAACTTTGTCCTCAAAAGCTTGACTGTGGAAACATAAATGCTTGAAGAACTAATTACGCTCCTCATTCGTGTTTCAATTTTATCATCTCACCAGAAACCAATTTACAATGACTGACAAGAACAAATTGACAAAGCCAGATATTCATCTTCTGTTGATAATTAAAACTCACTTAAATAAAATTGATAAGACAATAACTTGGTACTTAGCTGATCTTGCCTTGCAATATTGAAGACTGTATTTCAATTTCATTTATCCATTATAGTTCACTAATGCCTACGGAACATTGCCTACACTTCCACATACCTTGCTTCTCGTAGGACTCTCATTTCACTCTCTGAGGGTCCCTACCTCCATTGCATTTATTTTGACTATGCTAGTTTCCATATCGGTGCCAATTCTGAGGAATTCCTTTCCCTGCAACTGAGGAATCCCCGCCTGCAATTACATCCATCTCACTCCTTCCACCACCAATCCTGAACTACAGTCAGGTGCCTTTTGTCCTCGCATGCCATCTCCTCACCTTCCACATTCAACAGATCACCCTCTGACAAACCCTCCATCTCCATCATGACGGTGAGAGCAATGTTTCACTGACACAAATGAATAAAGTTTAAAGAAGAATATGTTGTTCATCATGTGATCTCCTCTGCATTACAGATATCAAACAAAGACTAGATTTTTGCTTTGCGGAACACCTCTGCTCATTCGACAATTATTATCCTGAGCTTCCGGTCCCATTCTTTAAATTTTCTGCTCCTCTACAACTCTGTTCGGTCTTTTCTATTGTAGTAATGACATAGTCTCACCTTTTAATTCCATATTTTACAGTCTTCCACCTAAGCATCCAATTCAGCAACTTCAGACCAGACCCTCTGAACCCTTCTATTTTTAAGGCAGCAGCTGTTGGCAATTCTGCTTTTCACATTTATACTTTCTCCAGAACCTTTTGTTTGTTTACTTGCCCTATTACCATCTCTTTTTGCTTCAAGCTACTGATGGTTTTGATATCCAATTGCTTCTGTCACCCATGGCAGTAGAGACCTTCCTTTTTGTTCATTTTCCCACACCACACTTCTTTCTGCCTCACTTCATAGTACAAGAATTATCTTCAGTCCACAAAGGTGCATAGAGAAAAACAATTGGGCAAAGATTTCTCCATTAGATTAAAATAATTAGGCAAGATTTGAGGGGCATCACTCGACATCACGTATGAGGCAAGGCAAGGAGGCTGGTTTCCATGAACTTATCACAGTCAGATTGGGGAGTGGCCCTGCATCGTAACATCGCTCTGCATTTCACTCTAGCTACCCGAGCTAACCAACCTTCATGGCTGTAGAGAGTGTAATGAGGGCCAGGTGGATCTCATTGACTGTGAGTTCCTTGATTGGCCCAGGTCAACAACCCCAATCAGGGAACCCTGGCTGACAGATATAAACAGGAGATTTAGACAGTATCCTCATTCTAGGCACTGGCTCTGAGCTGGCTGGTCAGAGCTCATGTACTGTGCATGTGTAAATAAAGAAGACTTGGTAGTGGGATACCGGCCTCTGTGCAGTTATTTCGGAGACCTTGCTGTTAGATTTCAAACTGAGGACCACTGGCGCACAAAAACATGATAGCCACAACAATACATACATTGTAATAAATCTTCGTTCTCTAACCAGGAAGCAGGAAACAACCGTAAAAGGGTCAAATCCTAGCCACAAGGCCACAGGGAAGTTTAAAAACCTTCCTTGAAGCCTGTTGCCTTCATAAGTAATTTCAGCCAAGGATCCTCAATTTGAAACTTCAGCTCTACTTCCTTCTCTAAAGATCAGGTCAGAGCTAAGTATTTGCAACATTTTCAAGTTTCTGCTACTATTTTCTCTTTCAGTACTCAGTTTCACTGCCTAATACAGAGCAGTAGCCCTTCACATTTCAAGGTAGCTGTTCATGGTTACAGCATTTCTAGCTTCCCTTATAAGATACCCAATTCTCAATGTCTGTTATGTACCCAGTTTTGCCTGGTAGTGATAAATTGCAGTTCACCTTGTCAAATAACAAAAAAATCCCTGAGTAATTTAGATGAATTTCCTATTTTGTTGCCTTTCTCATTAGAGATCTTAACAATACATTGATAATTAATTCTCTTTTCTGTATAATGTGCAAATCTTTATAAAGGTTAACAGAAGGGTGGGGAGATAAATATGCCTACATTAGATAAGTTTCTCATTCTTAAGAACAAAATGCAAGATATCTCACTTCGCAGAATTAATTCTTCAAAAAGTAATATATCTGATAATTAGAGAGTTTTAAATTAGTTCATGAAGTTTCTTCTCTCACCTACTTATCTCTTTTTTAAGGAATGCCTCCCTTTGCCAGCTTTGTTTCAACACCAAGTTCTCTGAAATCAAATTATAGCCATCAGTCCTGACAAATTCTGAATCAGCAATTTCTCAGGAAGCATAGACCTTTACAGTACAGTATTGAAGTAGGGCATTCAAGCTGTCATGCCTGTATCAGCTCTATGAAAGAGCTGTCCAATTTAGTCCCACATGCAAACGTTTCCTGCAAATTAATCACTTTCAAGTACATGTCAAACTGCCTTTAGAATTTCTTCTGGAATCTGCTTCCACTGTCCTTTCAAGTAGTATACTCCAGATTGCTACAGTCTTCTGTGTGAAAACAATTCACTTCTTTCTTGCATCAATTATTTTAAATGCATGACCTCATCTCACTGATCCACTTGCCAAAGGAAATAATTTCACCCTACTTGCCTTATCCAAAGCTCAATTAATTTTTAATCTCCTTTAGGCCTCCATTTAACATTCTTGGCTATAAGAACAACAATCCAAATTTCCCCATGTGACTAATTCTCTCACTTTTGACATCTTTTTGCAAACCTCCTCTGAACCTCTCCAAGGCCTTCACATCCCTCCTAAAGTGTGGTGTCTAGAATTGTGCACAGTACTTTAACCAACACCCATCCAAAAGTTTGTAAAAAGGTTTAGCATGACTTCCTTGTTTTTATAATCCATTTCCTTATTGATAAAGGAAAGTATCCATACACTTTCTGAAGTATTCTCAACTTACCCACTAGGTTCAAAAGATTGTGAATATGCACACCCAAGTCCGTCTGCTCTTCAACGCCTTCAATTATGTTGCCTGTCCACGTAGTTCCTTTCAAACTGTGTCAGTTCACACTTTGCCACTTTAAACTTAATGTCAGTGCAGAAAGAGGCAATTCAAGTCTGCACTGACCCTCCAAAGAGCACCCTGCCCAGACCCAGCCACCACGCTATTGTAACTTCACACTTACCATGGTGAATTACTGCGCTTGAACAGCCCTGGACACTACAGGATAATTTAGCTTGGTCAATCCACCTAACCTGCCCATCTTTGGATTGTAGGAGGAAACTAGAGTAGCTGGAGGAAACCCATGCGGACGCAAGAAGAATGTGCAAACTCCACACAGACAATTACCCGAGGGTGGGATCAAACCCCAGTCCCTGGTGCTGTGAGGTAGCTGTGCTAACCCATTGAGTCATCATGCTGCCCCAAACTACACTAACAACCAATTCAACACAATCAGTTACTGTAATATTATTCATTTATGCTTGCCAGAAAATATATGCATTTATGTGCAGGGATCCGTTCTCTGCAAAAGAAAATGAAGATGCTAAATTCTTGCAGCTTTGCTGAATTTTCCAGGAGCTTGGGAGCCTATATATCCCTGTCTGTTTCTCCATCATCATCTTAGGAGTGGCACGGTGGCTCAGTGGTTAGCATTGCTGCCTCACAACACCAGGGACCCGGGTTTGATTCCACCCTCGGGCGACTGTCTGTGTGGAGTTTGCACATTCTCCCCATGTCTGTGTGGGTTTCCTCCGGGTGCTCCGGTTTCCTCCCACAGTCCAAAGATGTGTGGGCTAGGTGGATTGGCTATGTTAAATTGCCCGTAGTGTTGAGGGATGTATAGATTAGGTGGGGGATGGGTCTGGGTGCAATGTTTTGATGGTCTGTGTGGACTTGTTGGGCCAAAGGGCCTGTTTCCACACTGTAGGGATTCTATTCTAAGTTGAGTTGCCAGCCAATGAGCACGTTATTTGCTTATAATATTAATTATTGCAAATGCTTTAAATTCAGTATTCTTGCATTTGTCCAGATGAATGCAAGTTTTAATAAGGTAATAACTTTCAAGTACATATAAGAACATCCAATTTTTTTCACAAATGTGATGAACCTTTAGTTTGGACCAAAGTATATCTACAAGATGATCAGATTTACTGCTTTACACTGTTATGGATAGTACATTATGAGGAAGAAAAGAACACTGGTGATACCTTTGTATATTCTTCATTTCTGATCTTTTTTTTTAAATGAGATAGGTGCATATGCATTGAGGCGAAAATGCCTGAAGATGTTGGGAATCCCAAGTCTAATCCTAGAACAGGCATTCCTCCTTTTTGCAAGGAAGTTTGGGTGGCCTGGAGTTCATGCACACATGATAGTCAAACAGCTGGCCATTTAACTGACCTTCACTGAAACCTGGTTTAGGAGTCTCTGGTGTCTGGTATTTAGTGTGGGGATTAGACCAGGTAAGAATTGGTCTGTTCTCAGGACATTTCTTTTAATAGCCAGAATACCCCTTTAAACAACTGTAGTACCCCTGTAGATATGGCCGCAGGACACCTTAAGGTGGAGAAAGGATCTTGGGTGTCCTTCAGACTATTAACTGTGTTGTGTATGTGAAAGGTGCATAAACCCATTGGAACTTCCCAACTTGTCATAACCGGTCGAGAAGTGTTAACAAGTTTTGACCTTTTGACAAGTCATATTGGTACACATTCTTATGAATGGCTATGCATCTTTCAATTGAGTGAAGTCTGCAGTGGAAGGCTTAGGGCATATGAGGGACTATGCTAATAGTTTGAGGACATTTAGGTTGCTTGCGTTGGCAGGGTGGGGCATGATTAATTTGTGGAACTGAGGTTTGCAACCTGGAGAGAATGCTTCATACTTATAATCTTTTTGATAAGGTAAGTTCTCCAATGTACTGTTTGCAGCTGTCTACCAGTGCGTAAATAATTGGCACTGGAAAAGTTGAGAAGGAACTATCAAAGAAAAATGTGTGGAGTTTAAAAGCAATGTGCTAGATATTTCAAAGCGACTGTTCACATAAGCCATTGTAGGATTTGTACTGCATGGCTGATTTCCTAAACTGCAATTTTCACCATGGAGCATCAAACAAGTGAGTATTTTTGACAGACAGCTCTGCTAATAGAATGCTGTAACTGCATTTATTTCTTACATAAGGAATTCAGCACTTGAGTGAAGTGCCAGTTTAAAGAGTGATTAGTTGAAGGAATTTCAGTGTTTCAGATATCTTGGATATCAGAAATTTTTTTCTCTGCAGAAGTGACATTATCAATAGACTGATAAATTTCTGCCATGATGGCTCTTGGCTTATGCCCATGTTAGATAATAGGTGAGTTTGCACAGAAAGGCAAGGGTAAAGGGGAGATATGAGTTAGTACAGAGTTGGCATAATGGCCATAGGGATGATTGCAGGCATAGGGGTTTTGAGGAGCCATTGAAAATGTGTTGATTGGCATGGGGATATAAAGAACCATGGAAGAACAGGTAGTGGCATAGGGTGGGGAAGGGTTCTAAAAGGCTGTGGGTTGGATTCAGAAGCATGGGTTGGCATGGTTGAAGCCTGTCAATTGAGGGGGGGGAAGAGCAGGAGGGATGTTTTATGTTTTGTCAATGCTGGAGTCACCAGGCCAGTCTTTTTGCTTGGCCTGCCTTAGAAACCAGCAGTGTCCTCTGCTCTCCCTGGTTCATCAGCCCATCATCCTGGTCTGACAATGAGAAGTGTAGGATGGTCTTGTTTAAAGTTCGGGCTCACAGAGCCTGGATTTCTCCTGCCTCTGTACATTCAATCAAGGAACAAAAACCAGGTCCTCTGTCTCCAATTGCCATGTTAATATAACCATTTTTCATACCATCAAACATGTGGGTTTTCAGTGATGGCAAATGCTTTATATAGTTAATCAGCCAATAATATGTGCAGTATGTAACTGAGCATTATTCTCAACTTGAGAGTGTGCAACAAATTCAGAATCATTAGTGATCAGATGCTTAATCTGTCTGATAAATTCCAGCTAAATAATCGCTGAGGACATGTTCCTAATTGACAGAGAAGTTCAAAATCAGTTTCTGACAAATACAGCAGTGAAAACTTCCTTTAATTTTGCTAATGGTGGGATGTTTGAATGATCACATTAAAAAGAAAAAGTAATCCATCTGTTGTACCAGTCATGTCTGCTGCGCTACATTACGTTTGATGTTTTCGAACTAAATAACTTCAGATACGTCACAATGTAGGTACTAATGAGTAGAATTTGTTTATGGTTCTTGTAGTGTTATTCTGTACAGTCTGGTAGCATAATGATAGCCATTTGTCCTTCAACCCATTTATTATGAATACAGAAATGACCCTTTCTGACATAGTAAATAATATTAATAGGTGAAATGAAATGCAATTCCATGTAAAGAAATCAAATCAATTTTGTTATCTTAACACTACCCGCATGGAAATTGACTGGAATTGCCAGTTTTGGACCTGTGAATACCCAATTTCAGTGTCGTGCAGGATTTGCATATTAAAAGCGCCTATCGCCTGGCTCAGGTTTGTGTATCCATCAGCCATTTGGGAATATTGTGTCAGCCACGCCATCTGCGGGAAAGGGATGCTCAACAGTAATGTTGCTCACCAAATGGGAAGCTTTAAAATTCCCCACGAAGGACCGAACTGGATTAACATCACTAATTGTGCCAGGAGTGGTCCAAGTCCAAATAAAATGTGGTGTGGTTAATCTGTGATTGCCCTCAGACCTGGGAACCCAGCAACACATATCGATGATGTATTTTGTGCCAGGTGGAAGAAGCGGTGATAAGATGCAGTCATTTCCTTACCAGTAACTATAGTTAGAGCTGACGTCAGTCAAAGAGCAGCTGCAACAGAAAACCAGATGACACGCTTGGTTAGGACAAGAATAATCAGAGATTGCATCCATAATAGGGATGTGCACAACTTTTCCCTTTCTTAAAAAAAAAGCCATCCAATACTGATATTACGTCATGGCATGTGAAATCCCACTTCAGTTCCTATCAGTTTTTAAGTAGAAGAGCCAGAAGAATGACTATGTTTGTTCACTTAAATCTCTTTCAAAACTGGTGCCTTTTGGTTCTTACCTGTTGACTGCACATCTTTTGAATAAATATGACCATGAAAACAAAAGTAGCATAATATAACAAAACCATTACAAAAAAAGATGCATATTTGTAAATTGAACAGATTGGTCTTAAATTATTATTTTATGCATTTTATTTTGTTTTAAAGCTGGGGCTGCTCCAATCAAAACCACAATCTCACCAACATTGAGCGGTAAGCTTTGGAATTATACAACAGTATATTAAAACTGCATAGAAGAAAATGTCTTTTATTGCTATTTTTTTAAAAGAATTATAAAAATGTATAGCGTGCATAGTTAGAAAATAAGCTACATGAATGCAATTCTTTTGTAAATGAAATGCCAATGAACAGATAATGGCAGTAATTTTCCAGGATCCAAGATCCAAGAGAAGTGTACCTTCCACTTGTCAGGGTTTATAAGTTGCAAAATCCATGACGATGGCTTCCTAGGCCCTGGGCCTCAGTTAGCTTCAAGGTTTATCACTTCTGAGGCATTTTAGTGATATTTGGATCCAATAGCATTTGGATTGAGTGATAGCTACAAGTTTTAATAACTTTAAACTATAATGGTTGGGTTCTGCAGAATTAAGTATCTGTGCTTATTGTTTTACATCGGCAGCTGGTGTGTGAGAAGCTCTGACACTTGGGACACAACCAGCTGAAGAAATGAAATAAGGTGGGAAGGTTATTTTGGAGGCGAAACCCAGCGTGGGGAGCTACTTTGATTCTACCAGTAATTGATACCAACTCACAAAAGATGCGTTGATAACTAACAATAATGCTGAGAGTATTCAGATGTTAGTCTTCAGCCGGTATGCTTCATTCCACGTGACATCATGAAGCAGCTGAACGTACTGGAATCTAGGAACTTTGGCAACATTCCTGCAATAGTACTGAAGTTTGTGTTGTTGGGGCTAGCTATTCCCCTACACTAGCAGTTCTTACAATGGTAAGGTGTGCCTGGCAAGGATTAAGATCGTCCTGGTTTGTCCTGTCACAAAAAAAAGGACAAATCCAACTTGGCCAATTACCATCTGTCAGTCTGCTCTTGATCTTCAGCACAGTAATGGAAGGGGTTTGCAGCGAAGCCATTAGGTTACACTTATTCAATAATATCTTCTATGATACACTGAAGCCAGTCACCAAGATTCCTTCAACAGCATCTTCTAACCAACAGCCTTTGCCATCCAGAACGGCAAGGTCAGCAGATATATGGGAACATCATCACTTGCAAATTCCTTTCCAGGCCATACATTATTCTTCACTCTTTTGCTGGGTCAGAAACCCCGACTGTCTTCTAACAGCACTGTGTGTGTGGGTCCCCTCCACCATATGGATAGCAGCGCTTCAAGATGGCAGCTCACTAGGACATTCAGGGAAGGGCAATAAATACTGGCCCAGCCAGTCACACCCACACCGTGCAAATGAATGGATAAAGAACTCCAGTCCTACTCTCAAACCACAGTCATAAAATAACTCACTGATACTCTGCTTGTGTAACTGTGAGTTACATATAAAATTCAAATAGTCTGCTTGCACTTATTACTAATCCAGTAGCCTGCTAATTTTTACTGTGTACCTGAAACCGTTAATCCCTACAATACTCTAAAAGTACCATTTTTGCCTCTCTCCTTGCACCATGCTTTGGATTTAGGTTTCATGAGAAGGCGACAACTCTGTCTGAGAGCCTCAATGTGAGCTAAAATGTCTAAGATTTCACATGCCTGAACCAGCTGACATGGATTAACCTGAACCAAAGCAGTGGAATTGTTTTTGAGAGATTCCTCACCAACTGCGTTGACATAAATACATCTTAGTACCAACAATTCTAAACCACTCTCTGTTCACTCCCTTCTAACTCAGCTCTGTACCTCTGTGTCCTGCCCCATGTTCTCTCGCTCTCTGATGCCATCAAACTGGAGGCTCCTATGCAATGGAACCACCAATATCAGTGGAAGGAGGGATTGTGGGTGAGGACAAGGAGCAGTGCAACAGATTGAAATGCCATTGATCTCCTTGGCTGCTAGCAGCACCGACTTGGACAGTTATATCCCGTTCTGGAAAGGTCTTGGATAATCTGGGAGGATCACAAATAATGAAAATTTTAAATTTATGTTGTCAAAGCTGCAGTCCAGCTGAGTGAAGTCAGACCGTTCCCGAGTCCTGTGACAAGTTCTGAGCTATAGTTTGTAACCCCATGTCCTGTGGTCGCTATCCTCAAACACTTTGGCCCCAATATTTATTGGCGTTTGATTTCCACGTAGGAGAGAAGCTCACTGCCCAGTTTCTCCTGAACCATACTCCACAACTTGCGTATTTTAATCAAGTTTCCCCATCTGGAACTCACTGTGATTGGCAGGGTTTTTTTCTTCTGTCAGGTAGGGCATATTGGAGAAAAGGCTATGAAACAGTGTGAGATTATGGTAGGGTATGGGGAGAATTGTGAAGGGGGGCAATATGGAGGGGAGATGGTTCATGCTGAGAGTGATGGAGTGGGGAGAAATTTTGAGACTGCTAGCAGTTTGAGTAAGTCCTGGAATGAAAGGGTTATCTCATGAGGAAAGATTACCCAAAATGGGCCTAATATTTTGAGGTTTAGAAGAATAAGAGGTTATCTTCTAGAAACATACAAGATCCAGAAGGGCCCTGACAGAGTGGATGCAGGGAGAATGTTTCCCCTCATGGGTAGTCTAGAACTAGGCACAGTTTCAAAATTTGGACTCTACTACAGAAGATGAAATTGAGGAGAAACGTTTTCTCAGGAGATCCATTTCTTTCTGTGCAATTCTCTTCCCAGAGAATAGTGGAGACCAGGGGTCTTAGAATCTGTTCAAGGTTCAGTTAAATAGATACCTGCTTGACAAGAGAGCCAATAGTTATGGAGAGCGGACAGGAAAGTGGAGCTGAGGTCCCAATCATGATCTTATTGACAGGTGAAACAGGATGGAAGGGCTGAGTGGCCTATTCCTGATCCTAGTTTGGATTGGATTGTGGGCAAGGCTGGAGATCATTGTGATGGCATAGATTTTCTTGGGGTGGGGGGGGGGGGGGGGGCGGGCATGAGGGATGGAGGTGGTGCCAGACCAAAGCACCTGAGTTTCTTCAAGCCAGCAAACAGTGCTGGAAAAACACCTGCCTTCTCCTGAAGGATTTCCTTCAGTTTCTGTTGTTTCCTGAGGAGCCAGGATTTTAAAGGCCAGATAAAGCCTGAAAGCAACAGAGGCGTAGAGTTCCATTAAAATATTTAAATCAGCCACATTGCTTTTGGTGGTGAATTTATCACTGCCTTGTCTGCCTCTGTTAAAAGCAGATGTGGGCATATCCGATGTGGATTGCGTTTGAGATTTTTGTGGTCTTAACATTCCACGCAACGTAACCTGAGTGGTTTTGGAGGGCTAAAATTATCTCATACAGCATTTGATTAGGGGTCAGATATCGGAAGGAGCTTTGGTAGCCATGGAGCCCTTGTGAGAGTACTGTCCCTTTTTTATGCCCAGATGTAGGGCTCCTACACAGATCAACCTCTACAACATCACTAGATTATGGAGGATGTTTCCATTCAAGCTTAGCACTTTCTGCTTTCCATATCTTACCAATTTTTATTTGCTTACAGCTCATAAGCTGCAGTATTGAAAATGTTAGGAATTGGTTTATTGTAATATAAATAACACGCTGAAATACATGCTTAAAATGAAATTTTAATCAAAATATGAAGGCTTTTTTGGTTTAAATTATCTCACTTGATTATTCCTTTCCGTTCCTGATTTAATTTTGGACTGGGTATGGTGGTCCAGCTGGCTCTGTGGCAATAGCAACAACACTGGCAGCCTGGGTGGCAGAGGAATAGGCATCCTGTTCTGAGAGAGAATGTCAAGTTCTAAGGTTCCTTTCCTGGAAATGTGCCTCAGCACTGCTTCTTCTCTGTGTGACTGTAAGGAGGAAGACTATTGTTTGGAAGCCCTTGCCAGCTCTAATTCCAAAACCAAGATGGCAGCCACATGTGCTCCATGGTAACAATGCAATGCTGCCTGCCACAGAAGCTTTTAACAGAGGTGCCGGATTGTTGTGGACACCAAGAAGAGACCAAGTTGGACAGAATGATCTGATCAAAGCTTCTCACAAATAAATGATGGCTCAGTAGCGATACTCACATCCCACGAATGAACAAAAAAATTTTTTTTGGTAACTTGGGCCCACTAAATCATCATCTGAGTTCTCTGCAGTGTAGCTAACATAGAATTTCATCTGGTTAAATTTCTGAACACTTGCGTTTAGTGATCCAACACATGAAGACCCTCTTTCAACTTAATGTCTAAAGTACATATGGTGTCAATCTTTGAATTGGTCAGTGATTGTAGGAGAGAGAAGATCTATCTGTGAGAGCACTCTTGGCATGCTTAAGGTCTTGGAAGTCTGGGCAGAGAGTAAGAGAGTAGGATTCTATGCCAACTCTGATGCAGTCATTGAATATCTTTTCAGCATTGCAACCATGTCCCATGTGATAAACTCTTGACATTGTTCTCTGCAATCATTTCCCAACCGTAATGTATTCATTTTAGAGTTTTGCCCACTCAAAGTGGTGGAGATACTGAAATTAGATTTTCATCCTTGTGCCTATCACTTCCACAAGAACCTTCAAAACACTATTCTTTTTTCCTCATAGGTTTCTTCCCCACTAAAGCTTGAGTGCATCTCTCCTTTGTAGTTTGTCTTTAATTTACCGCCAGAGCTCTTGATTTCAAGCTTGCATTCCCACATCCAAATTGAAATGCAGGTCGCAACTATTACTTGGTCAGGTAGCAACGATGCCACCCGAAGGTTGCAGGAACGGCACCTCCTATTTCGCTTGGGAACCCTTCAGCCCAGTGGTTTCAATGTGGATTTCACAAGCTTCAAAATCTCCCCTTCCACTACCGCATCCCAAAACCAGTTCAGCTTGTCCCCGCCTCCCTAACCTGTCCTTCCTCCCACCTATCCCCTCCTCCCACCTCAAGCCCCACCCCCATCTCCTACCTACTAGCCTTGTCCCGCCCCCTTGACCTGTCCGTCCTCCCTGGACTGACCTATCCCCTCCCTAACTCCCCACCTAAACTCACCTTTACTGGCTCCATCCCCGCCTCTTTGACCTGTCTGTCTCCTCTCCACCTATCTTCTCCTTTATCCATCTTCTATCCACCACTCCCTCTCTCCCTATTTATTTCAGAACCCCCTTCCCCTCCCCCATTTCTGAAGAAGGGTCTAGGCCTGAAACGTCAGCTTTTCTGCTCCTCTGATGCTGCTTGGCCTGCTGTGTTCATCCAGCTTTACACCTTGTTATCTCAGCTTTTCCAGCATCTGCAGTTCCTACTATCTCAGGTGCAGGACAGTGTCCATGGTGGTGGTATATTCCCTGAATGAGCTAAGGTATTTCTTGACACCTACTTGCTTGTCTTGTCCTGTGACAGAGGTCACGATTTTCAACTCTGCTAGAAAGAGAATGAAGTCAAATTACACATTTCTTACATAATATTACAGAACTATTCAGGATGTTTAGTGGCATTTTGTGGATCATTTGACTGGATTCTGATTTCTTTTCCCATAAATACTTATCATGTTATATAATCTCCTCTTCCAAGTAGCGTCCTCCAATTTGAGGATCACCCAGTTAGGGCTGTATGAATTTACTATGGAGCCTGGTAAGGAGGCAGATCCCAGCTCTACGTCAGTTGGAACAGAGTTCAAACCTATTCTTTGCATTAAACTGATCCATGAGCTAATCATCTGGCCAATAACTTGTTCATGTATGCTCAAAAAAAAGTGAGTAAGTACATTATGATGAATATATTTGAAATACAAACTAACCAGTGTCATTATTTTGATTTACCACCAGGTCCCCTATAATTTGGGTGGATAGGAGTCTTCCCTTGTGGGGTTTACAGGTAAGATGCACCTAGTTCAACAATGATAACTTTAATAGACCTTTTCAGTTTGTAATATAATCAAATTGAAGTTCATATTAGCTGGAGTGCTGAAGTCTGAGATGAAAGATAAAATGAAATAACTGGCAGAACAACTTTCTTTCAGTTCCACATTCTTCTATTCTTGCTATGACTCTACATGAACTTAATGCATTATTTATTCTGGACAACAAATCATTATGGAGCACAAAATGTATAAAACAGGTATCATGCCTACAAGCAACTTGCTTATTGCCTTTTGCAAATGTTTCATAAACTCATTGGAATCATAAATTTCTGGCTGGCTTTCTGAGGCATTGAGCCAATTTACATTGATACTTGCAATAAATTCACTTCTGTCAATTTCCTTGCTTTTGTATTTAACTACAGTGTAGATAAGGTCAGATTTTACAGAAATTTGGAAACTAAATATGACAAGTCTAATTCAGCTTCTGTGGTCTGTAATTTATGCTGTCTGTAAAAAGAAAATGGAAATATGTTTGTGCCTCAATTAGCCATTTATTTTTGGACTTTTTGTTAAGCTTGCATAGCCTAGGGCTGTGACTGCTCAGTCCCTGTCCTAAACCCCCATACAGAATTAATGAGCTATCAGTCAACGGGAGTTATTTTGGCCAAAGGATGAAAATGGGTCCTAAATCTGTGCAAAGTTGGTAAAAGAAGCAAAACAATATGAGAACAAACTGTTTTGATGCAGTGTATTGCTGAGGTCTGGACTGCACTGCCTGAGAGTGAAGTGGAGCCAGAATCAATTAAGACATTCAAAAGGCAATCAAATTGTGGTTGAAGAGGAGCAAACTGAAAAGCTCTTTCAGAAAGCAGCTGCAGAGACAATGAGGCAAGAGATGACCTCCTGCATCTGTAACAATTATGTGGTGTGGACCCCTGGCAAAATGCCTGCGAACAATTACTTCGTTTATCCTGGTGACACCTATAATTTAGGGCAGCATAGCACACACTCATCCTTAAGTAAAGTCATTAGAGAATTTCGGGAAAGAATATTGCTTTGACACTGTCATGAAAAATCCCTGATTTGTCTCAGAGATGCTCGTGAAACAATGAAAGCACGAAATGTTTAATATCCCTTTAAGTGGTGGTATCCCTTTAAGTAGTGCTTGAAATAAACATCAATGCTGTATTTATTCCCAAACAGCCGGTCGCTGATGTACAGCATTTGTGATGAACACCAGCAGGTATTTTAATTGGCAGTCAGCTGTTTCTTAAGCCTCTGGTTAACTATTCCTCGTGCTGGTCTCAGCTTCTTGTGCTAAGGTGTCTTTGCACTGTGAGCAGGCTCACTTGGCACTTTGGCGTAAGACTTAATCTTAGTCAGCTCTTTAGTGCCTACACTCTTCTAGTGTTAACTATTGCTGCCCTTTATATTATTCCTCAGAATATAACTTACATCCTTTCAGATGTAGCATAAAATCCCATTGAGAGATAGCAAACATTGCATATTGGAGAAAGAAGATCAGCACTGGCCATACGAAAAACAAGGCTTGGCCTGTCAGCAACACCACTTCCCTGTTTTGTGCAGCAACAATGAAATTTTTTTTTTGAAGTATTGAAAAGTGCTTCCCAAAAGTTAATTGAGTCAACTTGGCTGGGGTTTTTGTGTTCCCATCAAGATACAACACTCTGGTGTCCTGTGATAGTAACGCAGTCATTAATTATCACGTATCTTGATGCAGATTTGACCAGACTAAACCATTATGAATTCACAATGCACATTTTCAGATCAAATGCTGATGCAATAACCAACAAACCTTGCATTTTTGTAATGCCTTTCACTTGCTACCTTTCTATAATGCCTTTCATTTTCTCAGAATGTCACATAATGCTTCACCGCTAATGCCTAACTTTTAAATTTAGTCATGGCAGTACAGGATTTTATTAAATATATTGATACCCTGTTTTCCGATAAAGACAGTGTGGAACTGAGACAAAAAAATGCGAAATATACTTACTGCTTTTTCTCAGCAGAGGTGTTTGTGCACCCTCAAATTATGTTTCCCTGCTCCCTAACACCAATCTTTGAACTGTCTGCCGTTTCTGTTTAAATATCATGCAAATAGCCTGGGCAGCTACATTTGGTGAGCACCAGGTTTGCTGCAGCTCGCATTCTCCTGTCTTTTGTTGCACTACAAAAATCACTGCTAGCCAATCTGATCATGACTCCATGAAACTCAAGATTAGCTCCAAGCATTTGCCAGGAACAACGTTATGCCATGCCTATAAATGTTTGAATTATCTACGAAGGGGTAAGGCCTCTTCTAATATTAATCTACAAGTCAGTAAAGCACTGTAGAAAGAACTGAGAGGTGAAATTTGAGCTCCGTATTATAGGTGCTGCATAACCTCCTGATCGTCACTTACTCTGAGCAACCTTCATGTTGCGTACAACCAACCTGCAGCCCCAAGGATGCTCCATGAGTGCCATGCTATATGGGACATTGGCATCTGGTTCTTCTGTATCATGGAGATGGCACTGACTCGAGTGGTGATGTCAGACTAGGCTACCAGGGTCCGGTGGTGTGGTCTCAGTTGCTGGCCCTCTGCAAGAGGTCTGCTCTGCTTTGTACAGTCTTATTCACCAGGACCTCCTGGTCCCTGTAAGGAAATAGCAGTGCTACTTTTCCCTTCTCTGACAAAGTCCAGTTCCTTCATTGACTGAGAAGAGCAGTTTCAGAATGCCAGTTCTCATCCAGTTGCCAGACAAGAGGCTTAGAGGCTATAAGGCAGCAGGCGTATTCCTGATTTCTAAGTCATTCAGTGTGAATGTAGTGAGGCCCTAGCTTGAGTTGATAAATCCACGCTTACAGCTCTTAAAAGAATCTTTGGATGGACACTTAGTCAAAAGCTATTGGAAGGATGCCCATGAAATTTCAAACCTCAGAATAGCTGGAACATGAGAAATTAGAGTGCATTCCAGAGAGCTGTGGCATATTTGGTTTGATCCCAGATAATGATGTAAAGCAAATCTTCGGGATCTCATGATGTATAAAGGAACTCTTGGGTTAGTAGTGCTTGCTTTGTTTAATTATATTTATTTCTGAAGTGAAGTTTGTTTTTTTTTTAAAACCATTAAGTCCTGTGACATAGTTCTTCCAGTTAATCACTTGGTGTTTGCATTTCTCTTTACCTGTTGATGGTCTCAATGGAAGTTGTAACAGGTTGAATACTAATCAGTAGACATTGTTGGTAGTGGGGTGTTATGGTGTAGAGCATTCAGCAACATATGAGACTAGTGGTGAGTTGGCAGGAAATACTGTTGGATAATGAAATTGCTAACTTTAACATGTGAGATTGCTGAAGTTCTTCCTGTTCTGTATTTATGTTCTTGAAGCCAACATTCCAGTTAATAACTTCTGACATTACTAATATGGACATACATCTGATAGGCCTCAGGCTCCCAGCAATGTGACACATCTGCCCTCCTATTCATCTTTTTGAACAAGATCTCCAGTGCATTCTTTGAGAACCGTGATTTTGCACTTTTTGCCATTGCTCAAAGTATCACAGGCCAAAAACTGACTTTTGAAGAACCACATGCCACTTCTTGCAGCCTTACACCTCCCTTTGCAAGGTGCAGGTTGCTTTCAAGTAGCGCTCATGAAATGGCATGAGTTGTACTGGCTACATGCGGAAACCATGGAAAAGATCAAGGTAGCGACAATTTGACCCTTCTGTCTGCAGTGAAATGAATGGGTTAATTGCATATTGCAACCCTCTCTGCTTTGGGAAAGAACTGGCTAAGCCCCAGTGGTGTCATTATTTATGTGGATGTGTCATTTCTTTCTGTTCTGTCGGAGTTGGGAATGCTGTTGTAATATAGTTTTCCCCAACATTTTGCATGTAAACTGGTCTGTTGCCCATTGTAAGAACATTACCCTCTCAGTTCAGTAGACACTGCATTTTACGCTTGTATTACTTACTTATGGCAGGAATTGAGGGAAACAGCACATAAGAATGTAGGCAAGAGACATAAAAGGACATTGAAAAGCCCGGAAGTTACAATTATTTACAAAAAACAGATGTTGCTGGAAAAGCTCAGCAGTTCTGACAGCATCTGTGAAGAAAAAAATCACAGTTAATGCTTCGGATCCGGTGACCCTTCCTCAGCCCTCATAAATTCCCTCCTCGGGTTAGCATAGGGTTTTTTCTGTTTTATTTTGTCCTTTCGCTGTTTCTGTTGAATCCGCACAGAGTCCTTGCACACTGAAGTCTCAAAAGTACTAAATCATCATCCAGAGCCCTGCTCCCTATGATTTATACGTGAACCTTGATGGTCAAGTTTTTTGACTGTTGGTAGCCATTTGTTCATGTTTTTGTTCAATGTTTGCACATCTGCACTTCTGGTAAGAATAGCTGGAAATCAATCTACCAGATTTTTGCTCCTTAACCCTGGATCACTGAGCTTAATTGTAGGGCTGACTGAAATCAGCTAACACTGTGAGGCTGAGGATTGCAATCTCCCTGGTAAGTATGTCAAGACTGGATAAGCAACCAGAATAGCAGGATAAGTTCAGTGCTAATCGTGATTTGTTTCTATGAATCCAATATATGTTGCATTGTTTCCCTATAGAATATTACCTTGCATAAAATGATCTGAATAGAAGGAACCTGTCTGGCAAATCCTGGACGAGGAATATCTGCCATTTGCTAATAGCTGGTTATGTGTAAAATGTGAACAATGAGGGAAAAAAAAATTCAGATTCATGCTGACACTTGCACAAGAAGCATCTGCTGACTAACATTTTGAGAATATTTATCTTTGATGCAAACTATTTGCTTTTGCCTTTCCTCAGTTATTTACTAATGTTTCAAATTTCCTGCACCAATTTTGCAATGTCACATTAAATGTTGCTGTTCCTTGTATCCTCGTGATATGTTGAAGATATTTTGCTTGACTAGGCTGCCTAGAGCTTTTCTGTGTCCACGTTTAATATTGCAGATAAGGCAATAAAGTCAAGGAGAGCATGCATTGCAGCAGTACCCAGAATTGTGTTACAGATAGAAAAGTGGAATTACAAGGAAAGATCTCAGATACTGGGGGTTTCCTTCCGGAATAGAGAAATTTAGAGGAGATTTAATGGAGATTTTAACTCTGGCATGTTTTAATAGTATTATGGTGACTTAATATTAAATAGTTTTTGTGCATCACACACACAAATCAGTCCCTCATCCCAATCCATCTTCTTGTACTTGTTCACACATTCAGTAGCCCCTTTTTATGAATACACTCTCCCCTCACCCACCCAAGCAGCCCTTTCCCCCATCTCAGCCTTCCTCCTGCCTCTCTGTAAGCAGTAACCCCTGTTCACAACCCTCCTCTCGCCTGACACTCCCCAAGCTCCCTCTCCTTTCCCCGTTGGCCATGCTGCTGGTACCTGTGAAGCAGAGTTGCTCTCATGGGCTCGGACGTCTGTACATCAGGAAGATGCAATGCTTGAGGCTGCCACTCACCTCCCTGGCTCAGCTTCACGAATGTGCAGGCCTTCTCGTAGTCAGCACTGTGAATGACTTACTCCTGCAGGCCTCTATGAGCCAACATGACACAGCTAAACATCCCTTGCCCAATCATAATCACTGCCACTAGTGTTTTCTGAAGTTAAAAGAGCACTTTGGGCTCACAGGCCACGGTATCCCTTCTGGCGGAATTGTTGGATGCTGGACTGCCCACCTAGTGGCTACAGGTTGGGGTTGCCCCCAACTACTCAGCCGAGGGGGCACTCCTGACCCCAAATGTGACCTCTGCCACTTCATACAGGCCGGTGACCCACTGTTTAGGTATTCTTCATGAAAAGGAAAGGTGAAACTCTGGCTATTTATTCACTGCATTAATTGTTTCCCCTCCTTTCCCTTAAATAAAAGAAACTTTTCAATACGGTGTTGTGAAATGTTTGCTACAGCTTCAGTAATTCATGCAACTTTATTCAAGTAAGGAAAATGAAGTGTTCTTATTTGAGACAATGAACAATTTTACAATTAAGATAAAATCCCGATCTTCACTTGAGGGCAGATTGTTACCTGTGCAGCCTATATTTTTCATGAACATCAAATAGAGTTCAGGATCTCTGTCCCTATTTGAATGTTGTGACTTAGCTGAGTCGGCGGTGGTTTTGTTGCATGCATAACAGTTACTAATGATGTAATACAGGACAGGTGTAGGTTATTTTATAATGGATTGTTCTTTTTTTATGTTTCACACCTTTGGCATTGAGATGAGGTCTGTGAGGGTCAAATGAACAAATTATTTAGAGAGTTTCTCTTGGGCCCCAGAAGGGTTACTGGTGAGACGATGTTGGTCGGTCATTAAATCTTGTTATCATTAAAATTTTCGAAACAGCGAATCACTGTATGTGAGGGATAGTAGGAACTGCAGATGCTGGAGAATCTGAGATAACAAGGTGTAGAGCTGGATGAACACAGCCAGCCAAGCAGCATCAGAGGAGCAGGATGCTGCTTGGCCTGCTGTGTTCATCCAGATCTACACCTTGTTATCTCAATCATTGTATGTTGCATCATTTAGTTTTTTGTTAGGATGAAAACAGTAATAGGAATGACAGAAAATTGCTCATTAAAACACCAAACTAGAGAATAGTTTGTTTTTTTTCCCAAAGCCTGTGAGCACTGATATAGTTCACCATAGTGATAAAGCCCCAAGCTTATCAACATAATGACATGTTTATTCAACCGTGTATCTCATTGGATGTAACACAATCATACATCTGCTACATTGTCAGTCTTACGTAACTAAATAGTGCAGTATATACTAGATAGAGCTAATATTATTTAAGGGAAATATATTCTTTACCAAAAAAATCCTTCTCTTGCTGACAATGTTATCAGACCTCCAATATCCCAAAATATAAGCATTGACAATGTAAATGATTTTACCTGTTTGGATAAAGAACTGGTAGTAACACTGAAAAGCTGATACTGCTGCCTTAATTAAATGTATATTTTGGAAACAATTGCCAAATAATTTGCAATGCCCAAAAAGATTTTTCTTTTAAAAAACTGCTGATTTAATTTGTTGAAAATCCCTGAAGCTCCTTTAGCCAGAGAGCGTGTTGTGTTAATTTCTATCATTTCCTTTCAGGTTACAGTGGCCTTGATAAGTTTCTTTGAAACAATGTTGCTGGCTTATCTCAGCTATAAGGTAAGCTTTTCCATTTGAAATGGTTGCTTGGCAACCCATTGCTTGCATGAAGTCTCCACATTCAGGGGATCTGTCAAATTGATTTTACTAGTTGGTCATGATAGAAAGGATATAAAATGAATGGACATGAGGGAATAATCGTTGCTGGTTCTGCTGTTAACTAGCAAATGCACTTAATTGTTTCATTTTACCACTCGGATGGCCAAAGTTTGCAAGTAGCTGGATGATAGTGGATTAAAATATTAAATAGTGCAAAAACATCGTACTGTACTGTGTACAATGAATGTTAATTCTTGCCCTTGTGAATATATTAACAAATTATTAGGAACATGTAAGGACATGTTTTTCATTATTTTCAACAGCAAGCATCCCAGAAATAAACCTATAAAGAGCAGGAAACCGGAAGATTGTTAGCTTTGTTTTTTTTTGGCAATAAAAGAAATGAAATTGTGACTTAAGTGTATTTGGGCTCTGTTGTTAATAAATCTTGCAAAGAGGCAACCGTGTTCTGGCAGAGGCAATTAAAGCAACCAGGTAGGAATTAATTCACTTGCTGCAGAGCTGAACATTACATAATTTTGGGTCACTTATCCCATTAAATTGGCAAGTTTCTGAGAGAGTTACATCTTCATTTTGACGTCCACACTGACAGAAAGGGCTGATTGGGAGTCAGAAGCTTAGAGAAGCAACAAAAACGTTATTCCAGAATGGTTCCAGTGACAGGGACCAGTTATGTGGATGGTTTGTAGAAACTGGGATTTTTCTCCACATCCTTCTGGGATAGCAGGTGGTGACATTTAAATTCAAGGAGTTCTGAAGTCAAAAGCTAATCTAGTGATGACCGTGTAACCATTGTCAATTGGTATAAAAAAAACTCATCTAGTTCACTAACGAGTGTTCGGGGAGGATATCTGTCCTCCTTGCCTGTTTTGGCGTACATGTGACTCCAGACTCTCAGCAACGTGGTTGCCCCTTAACCACCCTCTGAAGTGGCTTAGTAATTTGTGTGAAGTCGCTATTAAGTCCAAGCAAAAGAATGAAATTAGATAGGCAACCTAGGCACCGGAAACAACAGTAGCAAACATGGCCCTGTCGATCCTGCAAGGGCCTCTTTTTTTTTTAACCATCTGGAGAAAAGTATGAAGAATTGGGAGACCCGTTCCACAGACTGGTCAAAGTTCTGAGGAAGGGTCACTCGACCCAAGACGTTAACTCTGATTTCTCTCCACAGATGCTGCCAGAACTGCTGAGCTTTTCCAGCAATTTCAGTTTTTGTTTCAATCAAACAACGGCCTGATACAGTCATACTCATGGAGACATAGCTTGCAGATGCCACTCTCTTCATCCCTGGATATATCCTGACCCACCAGCAGGGCAGATCCACCAGAGTGGGCGGCTCTGGAACTAGTTTCCCTTGGAGCCCTTAATGTTGACTTTCACACCCCTTGGCCTGACTGCCCTGCCTCCGTTCCCACTCGTGTTAAAGCAATCACTTGCGGCCCATTTCTGTTTCTCTGTAAGCATATGAGGGATCTAGAAATGGTCCCGACTTCCCTTTCCCATCTCCCGAATGGGAAAACCCAGCCTGATTTCTCTCTCCACAGATGCTGCCAGAACTGCTGATTAACTGCCTGCATTTTTTGACTTTATTTCGGAATCCGTCATCAGCAGCGTTTTTCTTTTAAATGGCTAAATGTTAAGTCTCCTCAAGCAGTGTTTAAAATCACGCAGAGCTTAGAGGGAAAAGAAATAAAAAAGAAACAGTAGCTGGGTAGGAAGGGCTACAAATCAGAAGGCACCAATGAAGGAAGTTGGCAAAGGAACCAGAGACAATATGAGGAAGAACTTTATTATGTGACAACTGGTGAGGGGTTACAACATATTGCCTGAGAGGATGGGTGAAATAAATTCAATAGTTTATTTAAAAATGAAGTTGGATAAATAGATGAAGAGGAAAAAAAATCAGGGATAAGGATAAAAGAGCCAGCATGGATTCAGTAGGCCAAATAACCTCCTTTTGTACTGAATTATGATAGATTTCACCAAGGACTACGTACATACACCAGCCAACTCCACTGGGAATGTTTAAAAGCAGTTTGCTACACTGCAACGCTTGGCATTTCAACCAGTTGAACTCCACTCTGCTCATTTGTTTAAGTGCTAATGTACAATAACACAATTAATAGACTCAAGCACTGCTGAGCTAGATGTTCCTTCTTCCTCATGGGCAGTTGAAATAAAGTTATTTTGTTTAAATAAGTCACTTTTAAGTATAATGAAGTTCGGGTCTGGACAAACAATCATTTGAAATTTAATTTTTCATACAAATTACACAGGCAAATTAGCACATTTTAAATCATGAATTGTAGTTTAAATTTAATATGCCATTTTTAAACTTGAAGGTTGCTTGCACATGAAAGATGGGGTTGAGGGATTCTGGCTGGGGTTTAATATGGATTTGAACGACCAAATTTCCATTGGGAACTGAAGGCTTAATTTAGTTTTGAGCTTGCAGCAGTGTGAGACCATGCAATTTTAAGTATTGCGCATCATTAATGTATCGCTAGTTCACTGCTTATACTCAGTGGTTCTTGGCCTCTGAGAAATCCTCCAGAGGAAGAAGGCAGCAATGCGTGTAAACGATAGCACTGCTGGCTTTGGGGAAACTGCCTTTTATATGTCGAATAAAATCAGATACAATGGAGTCTGGGAATTGCAGTTTTGACATTTTGTCCACATGTTTAGTTTCTGCTGGACAAGTAGAGTCAAAATTGATTTTGTGCTTGTAGATTTATATGTTCTTCGAACTCTTCAAATCCAGAAGTGATTACATCAATGAAATGGGCTGACAGATGTGCAGTTTTTCCTATTTCTTTTCCTCCAGTTTAACACTCCAAAGCTTCATTAATGTCAATGACTATTGCTTAACTGGTTAAGTGGTTGTGGAGTCACTTGAGAGACATAGAAGTGAGCGCTATTGCGGGCAGATTTTAATTGCCCATTTTTCTGCTTTGAGGCTAAAAATTGCATAGCAGATTCACCCAGAAGACTATGCAAATAATTGGTAATTTGTGATGCTGTATTGAAGAACATGACAGATTTAAACCCCTGTTCCAAAGAGATGAAAAAAAAAACACTCGCACAGCAATGAGCTTCTTTATTGTTTAATAAATTTCACAGTCGATATTGTGTATACAAAACTGCAGAAAAATGACCTGCATGAGATATTCATTTTATGGTGATACCATCTTAATTGTCAAAAAACAATATTTTACAATTGTAACCCTTGTGCATGTTAATTTGAAAAACAAAGGAATTATTTCCAGTTTAGGGGTGAGAACGCGACTATATTTTGTGAGATTGCCTTGCTGGACTTTGAAATACTTTAATAAATGGAAAGGTTAGTAATTTTTTGACAGGTGAAACCCAGTTCCCATGCCACCATAGTCTGCTGTGGTCAATGTTGAGTTGTATCTTCCCTTGATAGGGGAAAAACTTGATTTGGAAATCAGTTTTAAAAACAGAAGTTGTAAACATATCAATAATTAACCGTCTTGTTTTCGAGGTCAATCCCTCTGCAGCGTTACGTGAATTAATTAAATGTAAATTGTCTTTAAAGCACAAGGCTACTAAAAGCCTTCAGTATGCCACTACAGTCTGCCATGGTCAATACAGTGCCTTATTTTCCTTAGACAGGGGAAAGGGAGGGTTTTCTTTTCCAACTTGGATTGGAAATCTGTTTCAAGAATAGAAGTTGTAAATATATAATTCATTAACCGTCTTGTTTTAGATGTCAACCCCTCTGTGTCTTAAACATCTTTGGTTTCTCAAAACATTTCATTTACAGAGATAGAAAATTGGCAATCAAGGAATGGAAAGTTCTTTTTTTAGGCTAAAATATTTATTCCCCCCGGTCACTTGTTGAGAGAATGAGCAGTAAACTGGTCTCAATGTGAAATTAATAGTCCAACAAATACTAAAATGTAATAATTATAACTACTTCCACTAAACATCATGAGAATAAAAGTTGAATTGGACAGTTTGACTCACAATGTGCTTTGATGCATAACAATTGTGATTTCACATCAAAGTAAAAATGTGTGGAGTAACTCTCATCACTGAAATCCAAATTCAATAAACAGTGAGATCACTTCAGAATTATCTCTGCACAGCTGCATGGAGAATTGCTACAGGTGTGAAGCAATACTTCAAATTACCAAGTCTCCCCGGAATGTTTTAAACTCCATTTGTTCTGCTTTCATTGTAGGAATATAACTCCCTGTGTCAAGTGAAATGGCATTTGGATACTGGTGAACAGAGCTATGTATGTGACAAACTTAATCTTCCCTAATCCCACTCTGGAAAGGCTGTAGGTCCGGTGTATAACTGTTGTGCCACTCCCTGTGTCCTTCAGTAGCTCAAGGAGACTTCGAGAATCACAAGCTGTTTGCTATTGAAATTACTGATCTGTTTACTTCACTTAGCTACACATTGTCGCTTACAACTTGCAAGAGTTGAAATTAGCTAACATACAGATTAAATTGTCCCACAAGTGGTCTTGTAAAGTGAAAAGATTTTTGTTTTGAAATGATCGTCTGATTCTTCTGCAACATCAATTTACAAGCTAAGCTTATAATGTGATTGCTTCACAACTTGATAGAAGAGGTTTTATCTCTTCCTGCTGCTGAGAGTATGCTCATGGGGTTACAGCAAATGGAGTCCCTGTGCTCAGTGGTGTCAAAGGTAACCTTGCATGGCATATGTTTTTGTGAAAATCTACACCACCAGCAGAGTTAGCATTCACTCATTGCTGGTTTTCTCTGGTTTTGTGAGATCATCTTGCTGGAATACTTTAATAAGTGGAAAGGTTAGTAATTTTGCAACAGATGAACCAGTGTTAAATGTGATTCAGTATGCCACCACAGTCTACCATGGTCAATACAGCGCCTTATTTTCCTTAGATAGGGGAAAGGGAGGGTTTTCTTTTCCAACTTGGATTG